CCGGAGGCCTGTGCATCTGTGACGGCGCGTCGGGTACCCCCCGGATCCTGCACCCCGTCTGCAGCAAGAGGAGACTCCGCCAACCAGCAGAACAGAGAGGGGTTTATTGCTCCTCCAGGACACAGCCCAGCACAGACGTGACGTGGCTACAGGAGCCAGGGCCAGGATCCCTCAGCCCCCTTGGGTCAGGGACCCATTGTTATCACTAGACTCTCAGCTAAGGCTGCTTCCTTCATGTTTCCCAGCCAGCGACCGTCCCTTCCCCCGAAACCTCCCTTCCTTTGTTCCCTGCCTGCCCTCAGCCGGTCGGACAGGCTGGGTCTTTGCCTCCGTGACTCAAGGCAGCCATCCTGCTGGGCAGGGCTACAGGAACCGGCCAGTAGGGGTCACCCCAGGCCCCACCCAGCCACCAGCGGATGCCCAGAGGGTATGGCCTGCCCACCCCAGCACAGCCTCTCCCTGCTGGGCATTTCCCACCCCCCGGCCTGCAGCCCATCGTGCACCTCAGCTCTGCCACATCAGCGCCTGCAGCTTCCTCCAGGCCCCCGCTGGGGAACGAGGGGGCCCACAGCCGGATGCCGAAGATCTTTCATAAGCTTCTCCGAGTGCCGCGTTGAGCGGGAAGGCTCCTGAAACACTCGGCGCTCACCTCTGCTGGGTGCAGCCACCTCTGGGGTGGAGGGTGGCAGCCCCAGGACAAAGGAGACAGCGACTAAGGGTGCTGGGGAGCTTGAACAGCCGTGTGGAACAGCTGTTCCCGGGCCGGCGCCTGGCCCCAGGGACCTGCCAGGCCAGGAGGAAGGGCTGAGTGGAGCCTGCCAGGTTGGGAGCCTGTGATTCAAGGCAGCTGCTTAGCGCCTTGTGCCAGGACAGCCCAGCCAAGAGCAGCTGCGTCAGGATGGGGGGGTGGGGGCCGGTGCAGGGAACAGCAACAGCAGCTGCACCTGGGTTTGCCAGGGACATTGAGGGGGCAGACAGAACCAGGCAGCTCTGCAGCGGCTGGATGCGCATGCCTGGGATGCCCCCAGGTGTTGGGATGGGAAAAATGCTCCTCTCCTTCCAAGCCAGGCAGCAAATGCCGGAGCCTCCCTGAGCCCCAGCCTGGGCATGCCCAGCCACATCCCACAGCAGGGGGCTTGGGGGGAGAGGGGAAGAAGGAGCAGAGCAGGGCTGGCCCCTGCAAGGCCCCAGCCCATGCCAGCTGCTGCCCATGCACGGGCATGTTTCAGGGGCGCTGTGACCCCCCGTTAATGCCTCAGGGAGAGCAGCGTGTGCATGCGCACGCCCAGAGCAACGGCCCTTGGGGCCCTGAGATGCGGCTTCACGCCTGGGAGCAGGGAGCCCGGGGGAGCTCACAGCAGGACTTTGCCCCCAAGTCAGAGACCCCTGAGCAAGGTGCTCCCCAGCACCAGGGAGCTGCCAGCCTGGCCCGGGGATTTGATCTTTTGACCTCGCTCTGCTGGGCAGCGAACCCAGGCCCCAAGGACGTGCTGCCGCTGCTCCGGGAAAGCTGGGCCCACGCCAAGCCGGCCGGGGGGCCTGGGTCGAAAAGCATCTCGGCCAGCCACGCGGCCAGTGCGGGTCCGACCCCTCAGAACCGGCAGGGGCCATCCTGAGGGCTCCCCGAGCAGGCCCGGGGCTGGTGCTCTGCTGCAGAGCTCGGGCCCTAAACACGCCAAGCGGTGGCAGGGGAACCCGTGCAGCCTGCACGAGAGCCACGGGGCTCGGTGCTGCCAGGGGTCTTCAGTCGCCCTCCCTGCTCTGAAACCCTCAGCTCCTCGGCCCCAAGAAGCTCCAGAGGCCAGGTCCTTTCCGGCCTTTGGCTGGAGGCTCTGC